TTAGATTCTGGCCCACTGCAAGAAAGCCTAGATCTACAACCACCAAATTTTGTGACATTTTGCTGGTGTTATTTAGATCCGTGCTTCTTTGGATACCATAGTTAATAGTGCTCCAGGTGGTGTACGTATCTTCAGCTTCTATTTCTCCAACTATAATAGATCTACCTTTCTACAACTTGAAGGTGTGGACAAGGCCTTTGAAGAAGTGAGGCCTATGAAGCTAGTTCCTTGCCCTTCCTAGCTGGGGGAGGGGGTATCTATGGGCAGCAATTTACAACCATTTACAAAAAGTACCGTTCCAACTCATCCAAGCATTATTCTTCGCTTATTGTAAGCTGCCATGAGACCCACGTTCTAGTAACAAGGTTAGAAAATAAGTACCTTATCACATAACACAAAACATGAGATTCCGCCTCCCACTCCACCCGATACACAGAACACAGCACTTGGTGGAGGTTCCCTTTTACAGAGGTGCAGGCAAAGCAAAGATCCCATTCAGCTTCCTCTCCTAAAGAGACACAAGCAATTGAGCTACCAACATTATAGTACAATTTTGTATTATAACAGCTCACACCTTTGCAGAATCTGGAACCACGACTCCTGCCCAAAGCCTGACACGTCCCATTTCCAGTGTGCAGCTCCTTCCATACTGAAGCATCGCCATATTGCACTGTGGAATAGCTATATAAAGCTAAATAACCACTGGCCTCACTCCTGTATCTTTAACAGCAGGCTGACACACAGAAATTGGCTTATGAAGATTTTCCCACATAGAAATGGCTGGAACATTTCACCTGCTTAGAATGCTAGATACCAGGAGTAGACTTACAGAATAGTAGGGTCAGAAGGGGCCAAGAAGGCCATTGGGTCCAACCTGCTGCTCCGTGCAGACAGAACTGGTGCATTTTCTTTCAGCAACTCACCCGTTTCTTTCAGCTACTCACCCCTTATACTCAGATGGATGCAGAAGCAACATAGGATCTGTCTCTATTTCCCTCTAGGTTATACCACTAACCTGCTGGGCACCATCACCATGGGTTGAACAAGCCATGGTTGATGCTTAAACTACTGGATACGGCAGGCCCTATTTGCCTACCCGGGCATGGTCTGCCCTATAGGAACCCAGACAGCCTGGTTGTAGGAGGAGTAAACAACTCTCTGATAACCAGAACAATGTGTGCATTTCTGCTGGGTTAAAAGTCAGCAACTTAAAAGACCCAAGAGCTACATACCTATTTGCATTCAAGGACTACATAAGGTTTATGTGTACAAGGCAAAAAAAAAAAAAGGAGATGCTGTATATTTAACAAATGTTCCCCTAATGAGTTCTAGGATGCTGTTTTTGTTCCAGACAGCTCCAGGTGCCACATCAGGTCCGGACTAATGTTCTTTCTGTTTGATAAACCATCCCGTTTGGATGCCAGTATGACAATTCATCATCATATCACAGGCTCATGTTGAACCAGCTCAGGTTAATGTTCCCCCCACTAAGAAAACAGCTTCAATTTAAAATGCAGTTTTTCATCATCTTGAATTTTTAAACAGTGCCACAAGGTATTCCGTGAACACTGAAGCTAATCAAATCTACATTTGCAAGATAAATAAACGCCAGATCTTATACAATGCCAGACAGCTTCCTTGCTCAAAGGAAGCAATGTTTGATGAGTTTCATAGTTCTCTAAAATTTGGATAGGAGTGGATTTTGCAAAATGTCAAATGTTTTCTACATCAAACAGCTACCACATCTCCCTGAATCCGACCTTAACAGAGCCTGTGACAAGCGTGATAGGTTACATATTCCCTAACAAAACCTGTAAACAAGTTTGCCAATTTTAATTCCAATAGGGAAATGTACACCAATACATTTTAAGGCAAACTCTACATAAAGATCTTCTTTACCTGCTATGTGGAAACCCCACAAATGCAAAATCCTTCGTTTTCCCAATCTTAATGCAATGACAGAAGCAAAGAAGCTACTATTTTATTAAATCTAGTTAAATTTAATTTTAATCAAATTAAAATATTCCGGACATATTGCTGACTGCGATTAAAGCAGAAGATCTGAAGAAAGTCAAAGTGTGCCAGTCCAGCAGTTTCCTTCCTCAAGTCTCGTCTCATTAAGTAGAGGATGCCCACCCAGCTTTGGGGTGCATCTCCCCCCTGTCCCACGATGGCCAATTCCATTTTGGTAGGAATTGGCTGCAGGAATGCAGTCTGGCTTGTAGGAATGCACCTAAGCTTTCAGACCCTCCCCCACCCCCAGCACTGCAGGAGCGGATTGCTGACATGATCACAATTATTCCTCAAGCAGTTATAAGCTTAACACTAGCAAATCTTTCCTACAATCTAAACCATAATGAAGGAAAAATATAGCTGATGGCAGCGGGTGCTGCCTGTAGCTCACTGACAGAAAAATATTCCCAAATCTGGTGGTGGAACATCTGTTTCTTTTGTAATATGGGTGACTAGAGATGAATAAAATGATTAACTGAAAACTTTCAAATAGATTGACAGATTTTAATATTCTGTCTACTCATATCAGTTACCTTTTAGGTTTTCATTTGCCTCCTCTGTAGGAGACTAAATATCCTAATCTCTGTGGTACAGAGAAGAGTAATGCCCAGGCAGTTTTCATTTCTGAATGCTGGTTCTGTTTATAAATGGAATTCACAATCTTAATTGTAACCTGCACATTTTGCGTTTTTCTTATGAATGACCAACACCCTGCAATATTTCAAGCTCCAGGTATGAGAAATGGATAGAATCTAACGACATGAGGGCTGTGACCAGCTGCACCTTCCCAAATCTTTCAAGTCATCACTATTGCTATGAAGGAACAAGGAGCCGAGCACAGTGGGCGAACTCTGTAGCCAGCAAATACAGAATCAGCACACCAAGATTGTTTGTTTGCATTTTTCCATTTTTGTTCGCAACTTCCATTTTTAGAACCGTAACCCTTTTCACCTGACCTTGTCAACAACCTTTTCCAACTGAACCAGTTCGATGACGAGGCGTAGCATAATCACGTCTAGAGTGTCGCAAGCGTGATCCAGGCCTTAGCTCGATTTCAGTAGTCCCAACAAATGAACTGAGGAGAACACTTTGGCTGCAACCTAAACGACGAGACGGGAGCCCTCAAAACAGACTAGAAAAGCCATGAGGAAGATGTGATAACGCATGAGTCATAACCCAATGTGTTCTGGGCTCCAAAGGTCCTTCATCAGGGAAATTCAGAATGGTTGTCAGATTTGAACATGCTGTTCCTTTACTACATTCTAAACACACTAGTGTCTTACCACACGCTGACCAAGCTATCCTTGTTCCACACTCCAAAGAACTGCCTCTGGGACATGATGCTCTTTCTTTCAATAGACATTAAACGTACACTTAGAGGAATCCCCTTTGAGAATAGATTTCAATCTATCTTACAGCGATACCATTTTTTTAAAAATGTCAAACATTTATTCTTTAGTTTTGTCACAAGACAGGAATTTTAAGCAGACTGCAGGAGGAACAGGTTGGTTGTTAGTGAAAGATGTCCCTGAAAGTTTGCCAAACAAAAGGAATTGCAGACAAGTTACAGAAAACAAATTCAAAATCAGTCTCCTTAAACCCATCGTTTCTTCTTTTGCCTTTTGAATTTGTTTGAAGCCATCTCATTGGTTTACTCTGGCCAAGCCAAGTAACTTTAGGAAATCTGACCGGCTGTTATGTATGCGAAAGCATAAGAACTGTAAGATTTTCCCTACTGGATTAATTCTAACACCTAGTATTCTGTTTTAACCTGAATGTTCGATGCTTGTAGGTATGACAATCATAGCCCTCCCTTTTTGTCCAACTCCACTGTCACACTGCCTCTAAAAAAGGAGACCACATTTAGTTATCCCATTTAGATCCCATTCAATTATTCTGCCCTGAAATACCACTAGGATTCAAAAACGCATTTTGTTTTGTGCATAGTTAGACCTTGTCACACATAAAACCACCATTATATAATAAGTGCAGACACACAGGGTACCATATTATCTTTGAAAGTGTTGCATGTGGTTGGAATCCCTCACCTGTGCAAATAATGATTAAGTGACCAGAGAGGTAAGCCCATTTTATTGCACCCAACACTGGGGCCTCTCATTTGCCTTCTGGCTCAAGAATAGCTTCATCCAGTCAGCCAGCAATCAGATCTCATTAATTCCTAAGGACTTCAAGGGAGACAAATATGACAATCATTTCTTAAAATGTGGAGACTGCACTGGGAATAATGTCTTTACCAAGAAGCAAATGGGTCCGTGTATTGCAGATCAGAAGGTTGAATTTACAGAAAAGCTGGTGGGCATTTATGCAGTTCGGGTTAACTAGAGAGGGGGGAAATCCAGTGGCGGCAACTATATTTGTGTGGGGATCCCATGTGCAATCTTCAGTGAAGACCAAGAGTCTACCAGTCTTCTGCAGGGGTAATTTGACCCTGAAATGGGTACCCGTTTGAGCTCAAAGAGCTTGTTGTTAGTTTTCCCCATTTCATCAGCAACTTACCTTAGACAATGGCAATTAAATAGGATCTCTGTGTGTCTAATAGCAGGGTGGAAAACCCCAAACATGGAGAAAAGGAGTAGCATGAACTCACACACCCTTAACAGTAGTCGAGAAAGTCACTGGATCATAGTAGAGCTGTGAAAGAAAGCCACTGGGTCCAACTCCTGCTATTTGTAGGATCTGTAGCAGAGGGCGGAACAAAGGCATCTGTGATGCCTCCAGTGCGCAAGAGGCTCAGACCTCCTAAAGCCACAACCATCAGCACGTTTTTTCTGATGTCCAGCTGGAATCTGGTTTCCTGTACCTTAAGCCCATTATTCCACGTCCTCCTGTGAAATTCACTCCTTTTGTGACGCTTTAGTGTGAAAGGACTTCGTATTTTACCAAGAAAGAAACCGGGCAGGCTCTGCTGTAATGTGACTGGTTGTGTCAAAATAATATCAGTCATAAAATGAACACTTTTATTTAGCAATATTTCAAGGGAGATTTTTTATTATTAAAACTCTCTCTTCTTGCCACTTTCTCGGGTTACTTGTCATTAAAAATAAACAATTCTCCAAAGCCCAAAGAGAGTGGAAATTTTCCACAGCTTGCTAAAGAGCAGTTATAACAATGATTTACTAACAGCCAACTTCTCTGAAAAGTATCGCATGCTTTGTAGATTGAAAAGATTAGTGGGCTTCAGTCATTTAAAATTAAAGTACTTGTAAAATACAAGTGAAACCAGGGTATATGGAAATGATTCTAAATTACACACCTGTAATACAATTTTGTATACATGACCAGACTAAGCTTTCACTCATCAGATGATCACGGCTAAAATACAAAACCTGCATCTTTCCTCAGTTCAACTAGGAAAATCCTCATATGCTGCTGAGGCAGGCGCACATTCAGAATGTGCGTGTTCCCACTGATCCACCCGATATGCCTGGAAACACGTGTGCTCGCTTCTACTGGTTGATGGCCCTTCTCTTTAATTGATTCTGCTCGCTGTGATTTAAAAGCAGGTACACGTTATTGTCTATGATTGCCTATTATGTCGGATGTTACCATATTAACATAGCTTTTCTGGTGGCTTGAATCAGCTATGTGGCCCTTTGCAGGTGAGCCAGCTGATGTCTGAGTGTTCCCCAGTGGTCCATCGAGACCTCCATGCATACAGGAACCTACTGTGCCAGCACAAGTTTTAGCCAAGTCTGGCATAGTAGCTTTCTATGCATAGGGAGTTCTTCGTAAGGTGAAGCATTCAAATATGCCTCAGAGTTATTAAGTATCTAGGAAGGACTGTACCTTGCACTATTTATGCATCTTCAAAAAACCTTTGAGGGACCAAAAGGGTGCCACTCCTTCGTAAGTATCTAGAAGGTTTTGTGGTATGCAGATAACCAAACTTGCCATTTTAATTAGATCGTCTCCAATTGCTAGTTTGGGGGCGGGGGGGATACTTAGAGCCCAGATAAGCTTCTGGCTGATTCATCTTTGGTTGGGGGCATAAATCCTTTGAAGTGCTCACCTTGCAGGAGATCTCTACCCAACTGAGAAATGACTGGTCCTTTGATGGTTTTAATCAGCATCAATTAAGCAGCTGGCCCTTCCTCAAACATATTTAAGAAAAAGAAAAATTACAAAGCAGTCAAATGATGCAAGGAAGCCTGACCCACACTTTTTTTAAAAAAAGAAGGGGAAAGGTATAAGCAATTCCTCCCTCCCATCTTATTACTTTCCTGTTGTGCTAGAATCCACAAATGGACAAAAGTTTCAAATATTTATTAAAGGATGAATTGATTGATCTACACTCTCCCCTCTCTGTTACACAACATTTTTGATTGGCAGTAATAGGGAGCAAGTGTTTCTGCTGGGGCAAGGGAAGTTCCTCCCCCTTTTCTCTCCCCCCCCCCCTTATTACACCATTTAAACCATAGGCAATTAAGGCAAAAGCACAAGATACCAATTTTAACAGGTCTGGTAGCACAAATCTCTGGATTTTTCCATCCTATGGCTGGGTCTCAGGCAGGCGATTCACTTCCGAGGCTGGTGGATGTGCTGGTTGACCTGCTGCGGGTGAGGAAGCTTCTCAACAGAGGGATGCGGTTTCTGATGAGCAACCTGGGCTGCAGCTGGAGGGAAGTCTTTATCACCCTGATTAAAGAATAACATGCCACCATTAAACAAAGAAGCACCAATCAAGTAGATGCACATTTGGTTATGCCAGCCTGACATGTCAGACTGTCAAAAAAGCAGATTCACGTGTAACACCATCCGACAAAAAGTTAGGACCGCAAAATAATTTCAGCCTGTGTATGGTATCAGTTTGTTGCTGTACAACAATGCCGGCCAGCTGCTGAAATGACTGTAGCTGATAAACTGAAGTTGATGGGAAGTCAGTGAAAACCATCTGCTGGACATTTAAGGAACCAGAATTTAGGCACTCGGAGCTGGGCGTCCCTGGGCCTGCCCAAAGCATTACAAGAGCCCCTCAAGTAAACGAGTGGTGTTACGCATTTGTTAAATGGTGGATCGTACAAGTACTACACGTAACAGTTGACATGCATGATTCCGTGATATCATGGCAATATGCAAGCCCGTTGGAAATTGCTAATATTTAATGTTAATTCTCTAAATAAGCTGCCCAAGCGTTATCTGTTCCGTTGTAAGTATCTGTGTATGCTACTAGCGTGTTTGCTTTTCTGTAAGAAAGGAAGTGCAAGATGAGTTGGCTACCAGGAACCCTAGACTAGAAAGAAGTGCTACCTTCTAGGTAATGACTGTGTGTAATCTCTGATTTTAAAACAGACTGAACTGGGCTGCTACCTGAGTAAGCAACATTTAATTGATTAACTGCATGTTTTAGACAATTAACCAATTAGTTAAATTTGTATCAGGGCAGTGTCATAGTGACAAAGCAAGAAGCACACTTTGCTTGTAAAATAGCTGTGCATATTTCATGGCAGGCAGAATCCCAGGAGATGGATTCCCCCGTGTGAGAGAAGGGTAGTTTTTCTCATAATACAGTATTTACACACACAGACAACCTGAGTCAGAAGTGCAAGTTTCCAGTAGATTTGGAGAGACTTGGGCGTGCCCAATTAGTGTGGGAATGGGTAGAGAGATATGGCATTGAGAGGAGGGCTAGCCAGGAAGGGGAACATGGACCAGAGAGTTAATGACGGTGGCTTGCTCTGGTCCTCCCCCCCAGAGTTTAGGTGGTTGTCCTATAAGCCTTCCCTTTGGATCCCAGATACTGCTGTTACGTGCCAGATCAGTGCATAACAAACAATCTCTCATCCACGACCTTGTCACTGATGAGGCAGCCAATCTGGCTCACTTCTTGGGAGGGCAAGCAGGGAAGAGTTGGCCTCTCCCAGTTGTGCCCACCAAGGTATTTAGAACAGCACCAGGGTAAACAAGGGCTAGTAGATACAGGATGTGACCACAGTTCATAAGAATCCTCTCTCTAGGTTCCCTACCCATCCGGTTATTAGTGCAGAATGTTTGCATCTTGTGTTGAGCCAGTAGGACTGGCTGGGCATTCTGCTAGGGTACTATCCACAACATTTCCCAAACCCCAAGCACCTTCTCTCCCTACACGAGCCAAGAGAGGTTCTCCCAGATGTGATGCTGAAGTCCACCAGACTGCAGCTTCTGAGGAACATCAACATTCACACGGAGTGTGCATTGCCCAGAGCTACTCAGGATTCCACGGCCTCCATGACAACCAAGAGATTGCCCCAATATGTCGTCAGTGCAACTCTTGCTCCAGACTTGGTGTTTTCGGCAGCTGTGGAGATGGTGATGTGCACATGCTTGAGACAGTCTGTTCATCATGGTCAGAGTATCTCATGCTGAGTTTTAGACTTCTGGCACTTTTCTTCCCTCTGCAAAGGTGGGGGATTGATCAAGATGACCAGCAGCTAGAAGTGGGTGGACTGAAATGGTTTCCAGAAGGCTGGGGGTGGGACTCGGGCACCTGGCTTTCCAATCACATCTTGGTCAATCTGTGGAGTGCAGACATGAGCAGAGCCACTGACATGATTTCTCCTAAGTGCCCACCCACGGTTAGGCTTGCACGGCTCCAGGGCAAACCCCAGAGCTGACAGCAATTAAAAAAGAGATGGCTGAGCACAAATGCAGAAAACCTCCAGGTGGACGCAGTGAGCACTGATATAGGCCCATGGTCAGGTGTATGAAAGAGGCAAAGAAACAATGACTTCTCCTTCACTGAATCCTCTCAAGTGCTTCCCAGAACTTCTCAAGATGGTTGTTGCATAGTAGCCGAAAGGACAGTGTGGATCCATCAGAGGACTTCTCTGACATGTTTGCAAGGCATTCCTAGAATAAATTTTCTTGTACCTATGGGTAGAGGGGGACCTGCATTATAATTGGTGCATCCAGAGGGGTATTCAGAGCACAATCTTGTCTAGTTTTGTGGGATGAGCTTCAGTGTGTTCAGCTGGAGGACACTGACCAAGTACTTGGAAAGGCCTGTGAAACCATGCTCACACTCAGTACCACCCTTGTCCAAGGAAGGTCTGGAGGGAGGAACGAGGGGGACTTCTTGGTGGTAGCCTCCTGACGATGAGGGCCACCTGACATTATCATTTTTCTGGTGCCAATGAAGACTTCCTTCCACTCTCACGCATTGGACGGGGCTTTTTAATTTCCTGACAGGTCCTGGGAGTTTCATGATCAACTGTTTCTAACTTGTTTGACATTTATGAGTGTTAAAGGGTTTGGATTTTTTTTAAATGCAGGCAGTTTTAGTTCTTGGGCAACAAATAAATTTGATAAATGAACAAATGACTCCAACCAATCACTTGATTGAACACCGCAGCCCTAAAATTAAGCTTCTGAGTCAAGATAAGCCATATTTTATGCCAAAGAGCAGAATATTTATATACAACTGAGCACTTACTCTGCATGGCTAAGCCTGTGAAGCACAACTGTAGCCACAACACACATTCTATTGCCTCTCTTGCAGCCATAGCTAAAGATCAATTGGAGAGCCATAAAAGATCTTTTTAATACATGTGTGGGTCCCATCCATGCCATCGTTGCTTCATCTTCTTGTGTTCTTTAGAACATCTGCTGGTAGCAGCACAGCAAATTGAATTTAATATTGCTCTGCTGATTTTTCACTGGGAACCCAAATGTAGTTTGTAGCTATAATTAGGAACTATTCTTAGAATCTTCCCCAGGTGGCTCTTTCTCTCAGGCACCACCCATTATTTGAAGAACGGGCTGAATCTCTACTAGCTCACCAGTACACAGTACTGGTTTACTTACAGCATCTAGTTATTTTATGTATATACTACTCTCTATTCTATAGGGTTGCTTTATGCTGTATTATCTTGCTGTTGTCCACCTTGTATATCCCGAGTGTGTGGGAAAATGGGATATAAATGCCAGCAAGAAGAGCAACAACTACTCTTGGGCTTTTGCTCAGAGATGCAGCACAGTTTGCCTGCGGCGGGGGGGGGGGACCAGGTTGAATCCAGGCAGGGGCAGGAAATAGCCCTGCCTGAAACGAAAGACTGTTTGCCACTCCATGTTCTCAAGACTGGACCAGACCGACCAATAATCTCGCTCTGTGCATGGCGACTACCAAAGAATAATAATACATGAATATTTATGCTCTTCATCTTTTGAAAGGAAAAATCAAGGCTAAATATACCACAAAACACAACCAGTTTCAAAGAATTGTTGCCATAATACAGGCAGAAACGGGGATTCTTCTCCCTGTCTCTGGCCAGTCAGTGCAACAAGGTAACGAGATGCTGAAGGCTTTTTAATCTTATGCGCTTTAATTTTTGATGATGATGATGATGATGATGATGTAAGATGCTCTGAGAATATTGATGTTGAAGGGCTAGTATAACTATTTTATGAAAAAAGCAGGGTTCGGTTTACAAGACAGCGTTTTTACAGTATAGTTTGGCTCCTTCAGAGTCTGTGTCGTACTCTGTGTGTGTGTGTGTGTGTGTGTGCACACACATACGCATTTGTGACCATGCACACCTTATTATTAATGTAGTTATCTCCCTCCTGCAAAAATGAAACCCCAAAGCAAAAAAAAAAAAAAAAATCGCTCTCAAGTTATCAGGATTCTACAATACACAGTACATACCTGTTTAGCCCTTCTCCTTTATAACTAAAAACTTCCCTCCGCTTATAGACAGAGAAATGTTAAATGAAGCCCTCAATGTATATCCGTTCAGATAATTAAAAGTGAGTCAGAAGGGAGAAAGGAGGAGAAACAGCAGATGAAAAGTAAAGCAATGTTCAGTTTTTAGCAAACTGACCAAGTATCCCTTTGTTTAAAAACAAGTAACATTAATAAAGATCCAAACTCACCCTTGCAATGACTCCAGAAATAAACACAGCTGGTTTAGGCGGACTGGAAAATTAAAGAAGAGTATTTAGTTACATAACTGAAGAACTCCATTCAATCACAGGCCAAAGGGCAAATGAAAGACAACAAGTAATTACCAAGGCTTTATTATGAAGACTTTATAATCATGGTAACAGAGCCAAAGTCATTCCTGATAACTAAATTCTCAGGACAACTACAATGAATCTTCCACTTAGTCATACCAAAATGAGTTCCACTGTGCAGCGCAAAGAAAATAATGGGAAATAAAGAAGAGGTTCAGGTGGGGGGCTTGCTTTGCTACAGTTCCAGTGACTGGCGAGAAAATAGATTTTTTTTTCTTTTTTTGGAATTCAAGTGGCAAGTCTAAGAAATCTTGGCAGATGCCAAGAAATTGTCTGGGTTCCACTGACATCCACAGGACCTCTGTTGCCAATGCGTCTTTCCTCTTCCCACCCCTTACAAACAATGTCTGTTTCCTGTTGTTTGTCCCCCAGGATTAGCTACATTGAGGAAGAATGGATCTATCAACAGCCGTTAGATAAGATGGCTTAAATAACGCCTTCTTCTATGGCAGAAGTATGGACAACAAGAACACGTATACATTCAGGGCGAAGTAGCTCAGTGGATGTACACCATCTATGAGGACTGACCTTCCGCATTAGCCAGAAGGCAGTTGGCCGACTTCTTTTCCTTTCAGCCTGCCCCATCCATTCTGCACCTGCCACCCCCTTCTTTCACTGCATGGCAACCGCACAACGGACAAGTCCCTCTCCATGATGACGCTGATACAACTGCAGGCTCACGGCTTCGCACAGGTGATTCCGCCTGCTAGCTCAGGTACCGGAATAACACTGCAATCATGTCTCCAATCAACTTCAGGCAATACTCAGAGCCCCTGAACAGACTGTCTCCTTCTTAACTCATTAAAAAATGAGAGAAAGCCATTAATTCATCTCATGATGCCCTTATTTTTTTAAAAAGCCAATTCACTCATTTTATGTTTCTGCTTATAGCCCCTTCCTCATACATACCTACCTATACTTTTTCACGGAAGCAATGCAAAATTGGTCCTTGAGTTCACCAGGAAGTCACCAGAAAATCATATGCGAGTGACTTTGAGCTCTTCAGATAAAGAGCAGGGCCAGGAGTAATAAATAATAAAACAGTTCTCAGCCCTGTTCCTTCTGACTTTCTAGCAGGGGCTAAAATACCTTGCTTCAAGCAGCAAAGAGGGAGGGGATGGGGGAGGTGAGAACAGGAATGTATTTCTGAATGAAGAAGATGTTAAAAAATATACTCAACTTCATTTCAATAAATGAGCTGCAGGAAGGGGGCGGGAGGCATTGCCAGCAGGCATTTAGGTTCTGTTTCAGGCAGCAAAACATTTAGGTCCTGCACTATTTCCAAATAATTATCTCTCCCAGGGCAGAATCCAATATTTCTCGTGCCCCATCAATTCCCTCCTTCAAGTGACACCTGGGGAATGGAGATTTTGCACTTGCGGGAGCAACCATAACGGGATAAAATGGTCTCTGTTTGGTGCGGGAAACTTTGAATCTCCGTGGTGCAAGGGATGGGCCCCACTGCAGGAGAGAGTCTGTGGGGAACAAGAGAACTGGAGGGGACAAAAGCACCGGCACTTTATTTATTAGCAGGAACCGTTGCCATTCGGCACTCCCATCAAAGTTCTGCAACCTTCACAGTGACAAGGGAGAAATAAACCTTATTAGCAAGACTCTCCTACTTGTAAGGCAAAATATTTTGGGATGTCTTGGCCTTGAATGGGCAATTAAGACTTCTTAGCTTTACAGCCACCTGCTTCTGGTGGAGATGCAAACAGGTCAAACTGGGTTGTCGGTGTGGTTGGAGTCTTCTTGGAGTGTGGCTACAGGACCTGTCATGATGAGCACCCGCCTTTCCAAATGTATTCTGGATCAAGGATCTCACAAAGGCCAACTCTTTAAAAAAAGGTGCTTCTGGCTCTGATACCAACAGCTAAAGCCACCCAGGTTACCCTGTGGCTGTGCGACTAAGTTTTTTGTGCCTATACTGCAGGAACGGATGGCCAACAATATAAATAAATACAACTAACAAATACATGCTTAATGTAAATGCTAGGTATTGGCTGCCTCTTGTCTTTGTGAAATTATGCATATGTGTACAGCATAAGGCACCGTGTGATGCCCAGGCCATTCTGTATGCTAGGCTGGCTTAAATTGAATGTTTTATTACAGTATAAGGCAGTCATGTTTTCCAACTATAACTAAATTTAAGTTATGTTCTACCTTTTTTTCAAGAGAAAAAGGTGTTGTATGCAAACAATTGTTTATTCTCCATTCCCTGGTAAAGTTGCACAATTTGCCTCATGTAGCAAAATGTTTGGGCTGACCACTTGAACCCAACAGCCACTGTTCCTTCTGCCTATTTTCTGCAAGGTCCAGACAGTCCCATGTTTGCCCTGCTTGCTAGAATACATATTGCAAGCGGGACGGGTGGAGAAGGTGTGTGGGTGCATCTCCACTTCTGTGCATCCTCTTTAGGAGTCGCGTTTCCCACTTTGGCTGGACAGTCAATGGAGTACGACCAGGTTCCGGTGTGCTAACCCAATGCATGGCAATTCCAAGTTTTAGTAGTAAACATGAGGCGAGTAACAGCTACACAATAAAAATCAAGGAAAACTAGCTATGACATTTCTGGGGAGTATTTTGATTTACAAACTTTTTCACTGTATGCGAAGCACTTAAGGCACATGAAAAGAAATAAAGCAAAAATGAATAGCAAACAATCTGTTAATAAAACATGAAATCTATCTTTCACACACTGTTTGCTTGCCATGACATTTTCTGAAAGGCTTCATAATGGCAAATCTGAATTTGAATGATTTACTTGCATATTCTGCCCGTGACCTTTCAGTTTTCACTGTTCTCCACTGAACCATGAAATTTGAGCACAGCGTTTTCTAAAAATCACTCACTCCCACAGGATTTATCTACCGGTACCACCCAGGACAGTGCTTCCAAGGATGTTTCTTGTGTCTGGAAAGATGCTAGTTTTAACTGGCTCTTTGTGTTGAAGTAACTTCCACAGAAGAGCCATTTCAATCTAACTCACCGAAAAACAAGGCAACGAACTCACACTGTCCAGACATGTCTGACTCAGAAACAGAAATGCAAACTGGTTCTTGCCCAAACATCAACAGATTTGCAGATTAGGAAGTGGGCCAGAGATCGCAGATGTAGGTTTCATGTCATTAGTGGCTTCTGATTGACTAAAAGCCTCTTCTCAACTCTCCAGATCCAAAATCTCGAGAGAGGGGCAGTCGGATTACTGGATTTCTGTATCATTTCATTTGTAAAACAGAGAAAGCTGCAGGCTTGGAAAGATGGCAGAGAAAGCTGACTCATGTGTTTTAGTAGCTTTTGACAATGCAAAACTGCTATGCACAATACTGGCGATTACAAAAACCCACAGAAATGGGGTTTCTCACATAAAACCAGATTTGGAAACAGACATTTGCCTTGTCATTTGTGGAAATTGTCTAAAAATGTCTCCAAATGAGTAGGCTAAAAAGCTTCTTGTCAACTAGAAGAGAAGCAGTCATGTTCTGACCTCATTCAGGGCATCTGTGTGCTGCACCAGACTACTGAACTGGGGCATAGAAAAACAGAAACAGAGTAAGAAGGGGTCTCCCAAGCCATCTAGTCTGATCCCTGGCTCCAGCTGGCTCCGCTCACAACATGCCCACCGTGTGCATGTCCAGCCTCTCCTTGATCACCCTCACGATGGGGCCTCAACCACCTCCCATGGAAGCCCCTTCCATACCCCTGGGGTCCTAACGGATAGAAAGTACTTTCTGGCATCCCGATTGAACCTTGGTACTGGTTTGAGTGCCGGACTGGGACCAAGAACAGACAGACTCAAATGGCCACTCACTATGTGTCCTTGGGCCAGTCAGTCTCATTCAACCTGGCCTCCCTCACAGAGCTGTTGTGAGGATAAAAATCGGGGGACCGCCTATGTCAGGGGTCCTCAAACTTTTTCAACAGGGGGCTAGTTGAAAGGCAGTGGCGGCAGGCACAGGACAGTGAGGTAGCACTGGCATGCACGGCAAGGCGAGGCCGCGGTGGCTTGCTCGCATGTAGGTCGTTTTCTCTGAGCCAATCCAAAGCCTCTGAGGCAGGCCGGAATAAATGGGCACGGCGGGCCGGATTCAGCCTGTGGGTTGTAGTTTGAGGACCCATGGCCTATGTGGATTATTTGCAAACCTGGAACAAAAAGAAGCAAACCGGCAGCCTGACTCCAAAAAATAATCTCAAAATGTCCGAACACGAGAGCCAGGCTGGGACTGACACTGGTGAGTGTCTCTCGCCAAGATCCTCGGCGATGGGCTCTTGGAAACAGCAGTGCCTTGAGGACTTGCTTGCGTATGTTGACCAGTCTGGGGAAGAAGCTCACGTGCCCAATATTTATTTTTAACAGGTCTACCCAGTCCAGCGGGTCCATCCTGCCTGCCAGTCACAGGGTTCAGTAGTACAGAGCTGCATTTCCTAAAAGGAATGTTGGGTCCCAGTCTTGAAGAATGAGGCTTTCTAAGCAAGAAACCCGGAGCCCCTGCTTCCTGCATATTTACAGTCAACCTCTGCAAATACCATCTCTTGTGAACAGCAGCTAAAAATAGCAGAGATAGAAAAACCTGTCAGCAGTTTCTTCTCCCGCTTCTCCAATCCTCCAGGGAAATGGAGGAGTGGCGAAAACAGGGCTGTTCGCTCTTCCACATGCTTTACATGCTGCTGGTGTTTCATACAAAGCGTAACCTACATTTCTAGTATTTTGTAAGCTATAATGGTTGCTTTGAGGATATATTTAATCTGATGAAAACCAGTATGACAGATGTTGCTTTGAAGAGAAAACATACCTTTTTTTCTCTAGAACTTAGTAAATAAAAATGTTTTTCATTTTTTAAAAGAACCCTTCATGATACAGAATGCTTGCTTTTTTTAACAAATGCATTGAACAAATATAAA